GGTCTCACTGCCCAGCAGCAGTTCTGGTGCGAGCTCCTCTTAGAACTCGTAACTGCTTGATTTGATGGACAGTGCTCTGTGTGCTGTTACAGTTCCCTGCTCTGTGATGGGGTCATCACCACCACCAGGCTGGCTGTGTGCCTGGGGCCTTCAAGGTTGGTAGGGGGGGGAGTAGTGAGCCTGGCACCCAGGAATCATGAGGCTGACGTGGAGGGGAAGAAGAAAAATCGTAGACTGGTTTGGGTTGGAAGGGACGTTATAGATCATCCAGTTCTAACCCCCTGCCATGGGCAGGGACACCTTCCACCAGACCAGGTTGCTCAGAGCTCCATCCAACCTGGCCTTTAACACTGCCAGGGAGGGGGCAGCCACATCTTCTCTGGGCAACCTGTTCCAGTGTCTCACCACCCTCATGGTGAAGAATTTCTTCCTAATACCTAATCCACATCTGCCCTCTTTTAGTTTACAGCCATCCCCCCTTGTCCTATCGCTACACACTACGGCCTTCTAAAAAGTCCCTCTGCAGCTTTCTTGTATACCCTCTTTAACTACTGAAAGGCCGCAGTAAGGTCTTCCTGGAGCCTTACTTCTCCAGGCTGAACAGCCCCAGCTCTCCCCGCCTCCAGAGGGGTACCAGCCCTCAGATCATTGCTGGGGCCTCCTCTGGCCCTGCTCCAAACGCTCCAGGTCTGTACTGTGCTGAGGGCTCTAAGCTGGACGCAGGACTCCCGGGGTGGGTCTCATCAGAGCGGAGCAGAGGGGCAGAATCCCCTCCCTTGCCCTGCTGCCCCCACTGCTGGGGATCGAGCCTGGGGGGCTGTGAGCACACATTGCCAGGTCATGTTGAGCTTCTCATCAGCCAGCACCCCCAAGTCCTTCTCCTCAGGGCTGCTCTCAATCCATTCTCTGCCCAGCCTGTATCTGTGCTTGGGATTGCCCTGACTCAGGTGCAGGACCTTGCACTTGGCCTTGTTGAACTTCCTAAGGCTCACACAGGCCCACCTCTCAAGCCTGTCCAGGTCCTTCTGGGTGACATCCCTTCCCTCCAGCATGTTGACCACACCACACAGCTTGGTGTCCGCTGCAAACTTGCTGGGGGTGCGCTGAATCCCACTGTCCACGTCGCCGACAAAGATGTTCAACAGCGCTGGTCCTAACACCGACCCCTGAGGAACACCGCTGGTCACTGGTCTTCACTTGCACATCAAGCCATTGACCGCAATTGTTTGAGTGTGACCATCCAGCAGTTCCTCATCCACCGAGTGGTCCATCCATCAGATCCACGTCTCTACAATTTAGAGACAAGGATGTTGTGCGGGACAGCACGAATAAAGCAGAGTCATCTTCTGTACTTGGGCCCTAGCAAATTGTTAACCTATTAGAAGGGTAAAATGCTGATTCTAACCTTGGGCGCTCATATATCTATATACACATACTAGGGTATGGTTCATATGGAGATACAATATTAGTGATACTACTTGATAATCTTATTTACTATATGCAGCTTATTAGTGGCTAACTCACGGTAAGTTTGGAGAGTGTGAATCCTGGGTTTTGAGTACTTAAATTGGATGGACATATTATCGTTTTATCTTATATAAAACTTGTAATGTGTTTTAGCACACTTGCAGCCACCAGTTATGCATATTCTTTCTTCATTCCTGCAGCTGCTCTCCAATGTTCTTCTTTGGGATGGGATTGTACAAGAAGATAGAGTCCGTGATTTGGGACTGAGCAAGTTGCTGAATCGTTACCTTCTTCTGAACCTCTTAAACACACCACCAGGGCCGGATAATATAGAAAAGTGTAATAAGGTAAAAGATAACGTGCATTGGAAAAAGGTGTATGCTAAAAGGTAACCCCCCCACACCCCCCATGAAGAGGTGTCTAAACTGAAGATGGAATATTTAAAAAAAATTAAAGAACATTCAGAATTTTTTAAAAAATTTAATTTTTTATGACCTTTGCATAAAAGTATTTTAGAGCAAATATTGGTCCATAGGTTCTTCATAACAACTCCTTGTAGGGATAATCAGTCTTGGTTTCAAAGAAAAATCATGCTACTAATAATGACTGAAGTTGCCAAAAAGAAAACGCCCTGTCAGAAGTGATGTGACTCGGTGATATTGAAAAACTTTTCTTTTTAAACTGTTCCACACATTCTTTGGGTGAACAGGTGGTTGCGTGCCTCCCAGGAAGATGGTTCCAAGATCTTAAAAGCGGATCAACCCTCCCTGAGTTACTGAACTTCTGCCAGCACTTGCTGCAGTGTGCGCGCACGCTACACAAGAATAACCACAGGTAACAGAGAAGGCTTTCCTTGGGATTCAAGCACTTCCTCATCTACGTTGTGTTAAATATTTCTTAAATTCCTTAAGTGTCACATACTTGATGCTTTCAAGGATGTTCTCATCACATATATACATGAAACAAAAGATGGAGTCCATAACGTAAGGCAGTGCTGCTGCAGTTCTCGTTTGATGTGGCACTGTGAGGGGGTAGGTGTTGGGTGCTGCTTCTGATCAGTGTAGCCAGTGTCACTTGATGTCAGGTGGCCAAGGAGAGATACCTGGCTCTTTTTAAAATTAATAAGCATAAAGTCTACTGAAGTCAGGTACGTAATTGTGGTGCTATATAAAATTTTTTATGTTGTAGTAATGAAACAAAAGAAGTTCTTCTCCTGCTGGTGAAAGTCAAAGCTCTGCGTATTGTTGAAGACTTCATTGAAGAGTACAAACTCGAACACCTTAAATCAATGATCGGGAAATAGGAATTTTTGAAGCAACATTTGTATTACTGATATAAGCCTGATAACACCAAAACAGTTCTGGTACGTAACTGAATTAGTGGATCCTGCCAACTCAAAGATGTAGCAGTAATCACTGTCGTCTTGTTAAATACTTGAGGGTTTTTTTCCAAATGTCTTCTACTGCCATCTACTCCTAAGTTAAGAAGACTTTTTAGAAGTTACAGTTGCCAAAGTAAAGCGATGGTTCAGGCATTTAAAACGTATGACAATGCTTTACCCTTGTTGGAAGGATTCCTGGAAAGACAGGCAGTGCCTGTGAAGCTGTTTCACTATGAATTGCTAAATATTGCTGACTCAGGTGTCATTGGGCCCTTCTGACTTGTGGTCCCCGGTGATTTTTTTGGTAGCGCTATTGTTAAGCCATTCCTAGTGAAAAATAATTTGTAACGTTGCAGGGGTTTTGACCCTGGTGTAGAAACAAGGGAAGGCGGTGTGCAGATGCGGAGTTTGGCTGCTGAATGTTTAGTGATGGTAAAGGGGGGTTCAGGGAGGGAAGAAGTTGCACAAGAGAGCGTCTGGGGAGGAGCAAATGTGTAGCAAAGGCAGCGTCTGCTGCACGTTGGAGTTTTGTACGTGAGTGGTACAGATGGAGCTCGGCTGCGCGGAGCTGGGGTTGTCACACGTCTTAATTTATCAGACTCTTAGTAACAGACGGCCTGGTGATGAGCAGCACAAGAACAAGTTCAGTTACTTTCATAGAATCATAGAATGGTTTGGGTTGGAAGGGACCTTAAAGATCATCTGGTTCCAACCCCCCTGCCATGAGCAGGGACATCTTCCACCAGACCAGGTTGTTCAGAGCTCTAGGGAAGTTTTCCTTTTGCTTCCCAGTAAGATCCACTGAACCTTACTTCATCATATCCTCATTAGATTTCTAATATTTTATAACTTTGTATATTTGCAATAAATATTGTTACAGAATAACAAGGATGCTTTATTGTGGGACCTGTAGTGCATCACAGACTCTGTATGCTTACTTGTGACTCTGTTTCTCCGGAATCTTCTGGGACTAGAATTTTGACTCTTGCAGACTTAATCCCTATGATTTCTTTTATATTTTTTAAGTTAAAAATATATTTTTGTAAAATATTTTAATTGTAAATATCTTTGATCAGTGTTACAGATAAAAGGACTTTAACATAATTATTTTGAAAGAACATTAAAAATATTTTCCTGTGTTAATGACTCCTACAGTTCAGTTCTTTAACGTGTGGTAAGAATGTTATTAGAAGAACTTGGAAATAATGAGCCTTCATCACCTTCAGACGTTATGAGTTATATTGCAAATCCTGATTTCTAATAATGATAAATTTCTGTTGCTTTTCCTCTTGGAATGCCACCAAATGTGACAGCTGATCAGCAGTTGCCAAAAGCTCATAATCTCATTGCTTCTCTCTCTCCTCATCCCAGCCTTGTGCTACTAAAAAAATGTGATAGGTGTTCTACGACAATTTAGCTGTGTAGATCTTTCTTTCTGGAAGAAAGATTTCTTTTAATGACATGGAAGCTTGGGAAGACAGTGAACAGCTGAGCTCAGAACCCTGGTGTGCTTCTACCATGGAAATACAGCTTTTTGAAGCCAGCTGTCCCAGTACGGAGCACTGACACTCTGTGGGCACTTCATCGTAAACCTTGCACAATTCATGGGATTTGGCTTAAACAAACTGGCTCAGTTCTACAGAATGGATTGCAGAGCATTTGTATTTGCTGCTCTATTGGCAGGTTACTATGAGTGCTCTATCAGAGACCTAAGTTTTTCTTTAATGGGAAAACTAAACGGCAGTTACTCTGAGAGGGCATGGTTGGCTCAGACATGTCTGCTTCCCCTCCACAGCCCATTTCTGAAGTTACAAGTCAAAGCCGTTCTACAGCTGGCCACTGCCTGCTCTGGAAAGAGGGAAGTTACAGACATGCTCAAAAATGACAATGCTACCTTGGCTGGGCAATACAAACCCCTCTTCTTAATTTAAAAAAAGGCAGCTTCTCATTTCTGGAGAAGTGGTGAACGCAGCATGACACTCCTCAAAGGAGGGGCTATTTTCAGGCAAGAAAGTCAGTGTGCAGCCACAAAAGTTTGTACGCTTCAGAATCTTCTGAAAAGGTTAACTTTATTTTGCCTATGTATATACAAAACTTGACAACTGATAATCCAAATCTAGAGTAAACATAAATCTTCTGGCAAAAACCATTATTATTTTTTAAGCTCTTCACTCACTTCCTTCCAAATTTTTTCCTCTATTTTTGAGGTGTCATATTCTCGCAGCATGTCAAACTCCAGCCACGGCTGGCTCCACTTCTGTGCTTCTTTCATTTTTTTTTCAGGTAGCTCAAACTTTATTCCTTTTATATTGTATTTTGGCCTTTCCCACCGTTTTGACCATGGCTTAGGTTTCATTCGGACTTGCAGCTAGGATGAAAGATTAAAATTAAAAAAGAAAAAAATGTATGAAGCAATCAGAATTTTGATTGTGAGCTTAGCAAAAGGCGAGACAACTGCTGCTCTAAGAAAGTAAGAAAACTTTTGTCAGCATGTTACAGAACTACTCCTTTACACTGTTAGGAGAAAAGGAATTTGTTGTGTCTACATGACTGTTGTCACAGTATCTTGTGAAACAGGTTAATTAGCACAGAATCACAGAATGGTAGGGGTTGGAAGGGACCTCTGTGGGTCATCTAGTCCAGCCTCCTGCGGAAGCAGGGTCACCTACAGCAGGCTGCACAGGACCTTGTCCAGGCGGGTCTTGAATATCTCCACAACCTCCCTGGGCAGCCTGTGCCAGTGCTCCGTCACCCTCAGAGGGAAGAAGTTCTTCCTCGGGTTCAGCTGGAGCTTCCTGTGCTTCAGTTTGTGCCCGTTGCCCCTTGTCCTGTCGCAGGGCACCACTGAAAAGAGTCTGGCCCCATCCTCCTGACACCCACCCTTCAGATATTTATAGGCATTTATAAGGTCCCCTCTCAGCCTTCTCTTCTCCAGGCTAAACAAGCCCAGCTCCCTCAGCCTTTCCTCATAGGAGAGATGCTCCAGTCCCCTCATCATCCTCGTAGCCATCCGCTGGACTCTGTTGATTTATTACACAGTCCTTACATTGACACATAAAGTGAAATTAACTCATCTTTTGTAGTTCTACTCCTGTGCCTTCTCAAGGAAAAGCAGCGTGACAGGGAAAGGGAGGAATGATCTCTAAGTTAGTGGGTTACTAGACAACGCTCTTTGACAGGGTCTGCTCGTTTCTGGATGTTCTCTGAGACGCAGATTTTAGCTGACTCTTCTAATCTTACCTTCCTTCCTGACACCTACTGCTCCCAAATCAGTAATAGTAACAACAACGCTTCTCAAAGAAAAGCTTTCCTCTCTGCACAGTGTTATGTGAAGGCTGCTACTCCTTGCATGTCTTCTAAATTAACTACCGAGGATGGCAGATATTTACATTCTCACCATTATTTCACTCTAGAAATGGCATAAAGACTTGACCTTATTTCGTATACTTTTGTCACCCTAGTAACTGATGTAGCAAAGAGCTGTTCAGCAGCTCTCCAGGGTACCAGTCAGATATGGAAGTTACCCACGTGATGCGCTTTCCCTCCAAAACATGTGGCTCCTACCTTGTTCAAAGGAATTTCTTCATGGTCTAAACGAGACACAGGTTTCATATTCACATCAAAAGTGCTATATTCGGGGAGGGCGTCTCGCAGGTACATCAGGTTGTCATCCAGCCTCTTTTCTAACTTCAGAACCTCGATCGCCTGGATTCGAGGACTGTACAGTTCATAGCATACTTCAACACCTTGGAGAGAGAAAGTCTGGTTTAATGAACCAAATTCATTAGAAATACTAACACCAAACTAGTGTTCCTTCAGTGTTAAACATCTCTGTACTATTCAAGAACTGGTTTTTACTTACGCAGGGAACTACAACACGCAGCGCAGTGTGCTGGTGTGATCGTACACGTGCACTGTGCCTGCACAGGCAAATGCAGATTTATAAGTCAGGTCTTTGATAACAGAATGGCTTGAGAGACGCTGGATGGCTGGAGTTTGAGGGAGGCAAGCACAGGTTTTAAACTTTACTCCCTTTCGGTCACAACGGCTGTCACCACCTATCCACTGTATGTATAGTGTATGTACACAGACACCCACCCCTTTCCTATCTGCTTTCAGAATATCAGTATTTGCATCACCCCCCGCTTTGTCATAAAACAGAAAATGAATTTATTATAAAACTCTGCTAATCTGTTGCTTGTTAAACAGTGGATGCACACAGCCCCAGTTCATGCACACGCATCGCACTCAAACTGGGCAGCAGACTGCCCGGGCTCAAACACAAGCACAACCGTAGCGGATCACACTCAGTCTCCTCAGAATACAGATCTAAAAATCACCAAGTATACAGATGGGAAATTACTAAGCTGTTCCATGCCTTCAGATATACGGCACACCAGCACCTCTGTGTACATGGTTTTAAACCTGCAGTATCCCCTAGCAGGCAGACTCACAATGTCACTTTCGTCTACTGTCATCCTCTCCCCAGACTTCATTTCTACACCAGATATCCCTTTGCATACAACTTCAATGCTTTTTGCTTACCATTTCCAGCATAATTGCCACAGTTAAAAACCCACCTTGGTCTTCGATAACATTCCGAAGGACAAAGGTAGCGCCAAGTCCTTTTCCTCCTCTTTGAATGCAGATGCCTACGAACCGGTTGGTTTTCTCACTGGCGTATGGGTCTGCAGTGGTAACGGCGAGTACACTGCCTGCCAAGAAAAAAATAAAGTAAATAGACTGTTCAAGTAAATATGTAGCAAAATGTGGGAAGAGAGTCAGACAAAGTGCATGCGTTGAGGTACATTTTGAAAATGTTTTATTTTCCATGCCAGAAATGGAATAAACTTCTAATGCGCCCTTAATTAACATACGTTAAAGTGATTCTGCAGGTTAACTATGAAGCTTCTTCACTTCTACCTTTTACTCTTCGTTATGCAAACTGAATACAAATAATCTAATGCATTCTCCTTTCTCGGCCTTTACTGGTAAACCATACGCTAAAGTGGCAGGATTTAAAAACCACAGAAGAAACACATTAGCATTATACTTTTAATGAAAACTGGATGTAAAAATGAAATTAAAATACAAAGTAGTATGTACAGAAACACATACTAGCTGATCTGCCATACCTGATACTGTGATGCTCTATGATATTCTTCAACATGAAACCACACCTTTCACCATCCCACCCAACAAAAAATGTCGATGAAATGCTGAAAGCTCTAGTGCTGTTACTGACCAACATAGAACTCCGGGATGTTGAAGACTTTCCGTCTCTGTATCATATCCTTTCTTTCTATATAGAATTTCAGAGGATCTGTTCTCCCTCTGGGAGGTATAAATTCAGGGCTCAAGAACCTGTAAGAAAACCCAAACTTTTGTAAGTGTAAACCAAAAGCATTGTGCAGCTCCATTCCACAAACAGTAAGGTATGTGCTCACGGCTGATCTCAAGGCCCAAGGCAAGGGCAGACGCTGGACCCCTCACACACCAACCATAAATTTGCAAAACTCTTTTACTCCCACACATTTTTTCTCCCGTTTCACTGCTTTCAGGAACTCTAGAACACAGTATTCTAAGGTTGTTTTTTTAAAGACTATTTCAACATCAGTTCTCTCTGGTAGAACTTAGTAGATACTTTTTGCGCAGTGATGCCCTGGAGCTTCGCACAGCTCAGCGCTCGGCGGCAGACCCGAGCTGGGCCCACTGGGACGAGCGCCGGGACACCCCACCTCCTCTCCTCTCTCTGCTGCTGCCTGTCGATGATGACGGGCTTTGGAGGCGGCTGGAATGTTGCCGGCTTTCCGTCGCTGCTCATCCGATGGCTCGAGGAAGAAAAATACACTG